AATCTATTTTTGGACTAGATGATCTTTGTAGTATCTAGTAGTCTTTCTGGATTTGTTTAGTCTTTTTGGAGTCTTAGCTAGGCTACTTTATCTGAGATAAATTTAGTCGATAGCTTTCGAGCTCTGGTGCATTAGGTGACGAACATGTGCAATGAAGATATATATACAAAATATGGAACAAAGACAAACATCTATATACAATCAGAGATAATCATTTGGAAACCATCAAAGGGGTGGGAGGCCATAAGGGAGGGTATAGTGATCTATGTACAAAGAAAACATGATAATAAAGACAGCTAGGTTGGGCGGTGACTATGCTTGCACAAAACAAATCCACTAAGAGGCCATATAGAGAAGCAATATTGTGAAATAACATAAGATTATCCGGTATTAAATCAATGAGGTATTTAAAAGTTAAATAGAAGGTTTTAAAAAATAGATATACATAAATTTGCCTAAAAAAAATCCCAGATTTATCAATATATTTAAGAATTTTTAAAAAATATAGAGAAACAGAGTGGAAATTGAAAAACGTATTAAAACTATAACATATAAAGTATATACAAAAATATTTTGGTAAAATTGTTAAGATAGAAGTATGAAACATTGGGTGTTAAGAAATTAATTAAGTACATGTATAAAGTTAAAAGTACTTAAAGTAAAAATTAAAGTATAAATGAAATTATGTAAAAGACGTGTTAAAATTCATTTTCAAAATCATTGTTAAATATTATAGAACATTTATGAACATTGTGAAAAAGGGCATACATCCACTGTAAGAAATGATTAAAAGATACTGCATCCATAATTATAAAAAAGTAATCAGGATTAATATTGTAAATGTATGGGAAATTAGGGGCCGGGGCTTACTAATGTTAAAGAAAAGTATCAACCACGGTTTCGGGGCTATTCTTGGTTCGAATATGCACCCAGGTGATACATATGTAATATTTCATACATGTGGATGAGCTAGGATTGGGGGTGTATAGCTCATTCGTGGAGAAGTATTCTAGTGAAGGTGGTCACTGTGTTATAAGTCCAATTCCAAATCCATATCAATATTACTTTATATACAGTTTAAAAATACATTATTTACAAGAGCATATCAAAGGGTTACTAAAGGTCTTAACCCTATCTCTTATCTCATCTGGTCTCGGTGTATATTTTTCATTATTTTTTCTGTCTGTGCAGGGGTCTTTTAAACAAACTAATTTGCATACAGACAAAAAGACAATCATTTTCAACAAATCAGATTAAAGATAAAATTAGGGATAAAAATATTTTAACGAATCAAATGAAAGAAGTTAAATAAATATATATATTTCATGGGGTAAAAGTTTTACAATAACATATAGAATTAGTTAATAAGCTTTAACCCTTTCACTGTGTATACCCGGTAGTACCGGGTATTATAAAATGTCGGTAAAATGCGCGTACCCGGTATTACCATGTACTCAGTAAAGCCCTCGCTAAAATTAGTACCGTAACTGCAAGTGCCATCTATTGTATTTTCTATACACTAGAACACATTTCCACATGTTTCAAAGCGGCAAACCGTAAAATGGCGGAGTGCATTGTGACAACGTAGACGATGCACTCTCGACGAAGTCGTGAATGGCGTCTTGCTGACCAACACGTGGACAATTTCGAGGCGGGTGATACACATAATTCGTTTCCAGTTACTTGATAATGATAGTAGTCAGGACAGTGATTGGTATTATGAAGTGTGTGATTTGTTGCGTGGCGTTCCGCCCATGGCTAGCTATGTCTCCCGTGCATGATGAACAAGCCCAATGTGAACACGATAGCCCTGTGTCTGCGGTAGATTCTGACAATAATTCTGATGTTGATAATAATGCTGGCCTGCTGGATCGTAAAAGACGTAGGCAATTCCCGAGTCCCGAACGTGTAGATCTATTGACTGACTATATTGATAATGATATGGTACTTGGGGATGAAAGTGAAAGTAAAAACAAGGTATTGCAATCCGCACGTGGTCATGGCAGCGGGAGACGTGATGCGCGTGTTTGTGGCGGCATTGCTCATAGCTGCTATTAATATTTTTGTTCATTTTATATATCTTTATCAAAATCCAGTGAAAAAAACAATATCTTTTAAGTATTTCATGGAGAAAAATTTGTTTTCGTGTTAGCTTTAGTGAGAAATGAGAAATCCAAAATGGCCGCCATGACGTCACGTGACTACATTATTATGCAAATTTCCAAAATTCTATTTTTTCCTCTTAGCCCAACCTATGCCCATCCCAACAGACAAAAAGATTTTTCATAAAAGCTTCCATAAGTACTGCTTGGCATTCAGTTCCAACCTCCCTTTTTTCCTCAAAAAAGGGTCTAGCACAGGCAGTGGATTTACGCCTAGCATTGACTAGGGTTAAGCCGTAAATAAAAATAAAAGTGTCAACACTTGATTGGCACTGATCTGACTGCATTGTTAAATGTATAAATCTTTATTTCGAGCTTTCTACTAATAAGCCTATTGGCACCTCAAAGATTATAATAGTACAGTCAAGACCATTCTTGCTTAGGGCAATCTCTTTAAGAGGTTTAAATCAAAATATTAAAATCTAAATCAATGAATAGTATAAAGTCAGCCATATTGATGAATATAGAAGTAAGAATTAAATTATGCATTGTTTGAAAAAAAAAATTAATATCACTTTTCGGTGATAAAAGCATGAATGTTGTGGGAGAATAAACGGAGTGGTATATTACTTGATAAGACTGTCGTATGCTCTTGGGATGAATAGACCAGGATCGCAGTTGAGTTCTGGATGGTACCTTTTAATGTTAATGGCTTCTAAGAGTTTCCTTGTCTTTTTGTTGTTTTGGTTTACTGTCTGTGTTTTCGTATCTTCCCAATTCACTTTGTGATGACCATTGTTGCTGAGATGTTGGGCTATTGCAGAGGTATTGTTGGCTGCTCTTTGATACAGGCTTTTAACAGGCTTTTGGGTTCTACTATGTATGTATGGCCGCACGAACACGAAACTTTGTAGACACATCCTTTTGGTTGTTGTGGGATGGTAGGGTTTATTTTACCGTTGGCTCGCAGTAAGTCTTTCAGGTTACTGCTACTGGAAAAGACCGTGTCAATGCCTGTCTGTTTCAGGATTCTTCTGATGTGGTAGAATGACCACTGCCAGACAGTTTGGGCGGTGGGTTGCCCCTAACAGACACGCCCAAAATAACACGACCTCCAACTAGGATAGATTAGTCAGCACTGTTCCTGTGGTTCAAAAAATTAAAAATTGTGCCAGGATGCGTAGAATGCTAATACCTAGCACATATGGAAGAGGCGATAAACTGCAGTTGTGGGAACAATTTTATTTTTCAAAAACGCATTTTTAGCCCCATAAAATGTTTTTTGCCCAAAAATCAATTTCTTGCAATAACAGTTTATCGCTTCTTCCATACGTGCTAGGTATAAGTATCCTACGCATCCTGGCTAAAAATCTAATTTTTTAGAACACGGGAACAGTGCCTGCGAAGCTAGCCTAGTTGAGGGCGTGGCATTTTGGGGCGTGTCTGTTAGGGGTAACCCACCGCACAAACTGTCTGGCAGTGGTCATTCATGACTCCTGTGGTGGTACTGAACAACTCCAAAGCTGTTTTAGGTGGTACAGATTTGAGCTAATCTAGCCTAGCTTTGGTCTAAATATTAGATAACTCTTGTCAGGGATACTCCACCACTACAAATGTCTGGCAATTACATAGCTCTGTCAGGGGTACCCCACCACTAGAAATGTCTGTCAGAGTGTTTTTGTAATACCTGAAGATGTACAGTACACTGCAGTAAGATTTTCGTGTGGTACACTTTTGAGCTAATCTAGCCTAGTTGGGGATCATGGTATTTAGGGCGTGGAATACCACACCCACCACCAGAAACCTGGCAGACTTACATTCTGATGATACCAGATATACATACATTGATACCATATAGGAGAAAATTGGTACACTTTTCAGCTAGGTTGACCCCCTGGGCTCCCGGTCTATAAAAAGACTGTACACAAAGTATAAAGATTTAATCCAGAATGGTTTTTCGATAGTAAATGAATATTAAAGAAATTAATGCCGAATACACAAGATTAAATGATGCCCGGGTGAGAGTGATCGCAGGTCTAGTTATTATAATTATTAATAGATTTTTGTGCATTACAAACTATTTATAATTTTTAGCCCGGTATATAATATTGAATATTTTTTAAAATTAATCAATGCACAAAGTTATATAAATAATTATAGAAACATTGCAATTATTTTTTTGAAATAAATTAGATGCAGAGTTGAAGTAGTTCATGCCTGGTATTATCCATGGATTATTTTCAGAGGATATATCATTTACTAATAATTGTCAGTTTCAGAATTAGCAATAAATATATGTTGAATTTAAAAAATTGTTGTTATAGATATTGAAAATGACATAAAACTCATTTTGTTCTTGACATCAGGTCAGCCACGCAAACAACAATTAATCTCCAAGCAGGCATCAGTCAATGAATGACACATTGTGTATTGGTGAAGTGTTATTTGTCGGAGTTGGAATGAAGGTGTCCATTAAAAATTTACGAATTGAAAGTTTTATGATAGTGGGATGTGCCTTTATAATATGGGTGTTTGTGTGTGGGTGCTTCTGCGAGCCTTAAACTGAAATCCGTGTCAGCTGAATGAACAGGTCTGGATATAATACAGCTAGTGCCAATGATCTTGTATCTGATGCTATGTTGTCATTTTTAATTCCCACTTGTATAGTCACAGTATTTATATATTTTTTGTATTCAAATTTAGGATATTGAAAACTAAAAACCTTTTCGTATGTTGTGAAATGCTCAGATGACTCTTACATTTTATATTTATTTAAAATATTGATGGAAGTTCGTTGATCATCCTGATATCCAATAATACCTTGTTTATAGGTACATGTTTTATAATTGAGATGTAATGTATAATATTTAGAATGAATATTTTTATTATTTTTTTCAGAACAGCTGGTTATAAATCACCACATGTTCGTGTACCTGAAGGATATTGCTGGGTAGAAGGTGATCATCAGAAACTTAGTATGGATAGTAATTACTTTGGTCCTGTAAGTATTCTTCTTTTTGTCCCCCGCCTTTCGAAGAAAGCAGGGGACTATTAAAATGGGTTCGTCCGTCTGTCTGTCTGTCTGTCCGTCTGTCTGTCCGTCACACTTTTTGGGACACAATAACTCTCTTCCTAATTGAGCTAGAATGTTCAAACTTGGTGTATGTGTTTATTAGGTCAATGCCTTGATGGAGTTCGAAGATGAGCATTTTCCGCTTAGGGTAAGCAGAGATAAGCAATTTGATTGGTTGATGCTTTGGGACACGATAACTCTCTTCCTAATTGGGCTAGAATGTTCAAACTTGGTGTATGTGTTGATTAGGTCAATGCCTTGATGGAGTTCGAAGATGAGCATTTTCCGCTTAGGGTAAGCAGAGATAAGCAATTTGATTGGTTGATGCTTTGGGACACGATAACTTTTAATTGAGCTAGAATGTTCAAACTTGGTGTATGTGTTTATTAGGTCAATGCCTTGATGGAGTTCGAAGATGAGCATTTTCCGCTTAGGGTAAGCAGAGATAAGCAATTTGATTGGTTGATACTTTGGGGCACGATAACTCTCTTCCTAATTGAGCTAGAATGTTCAAACTTGGTGTATGTGTTGATTAGGTCAATGCCTTGATGGAGTTCGAAGATGAGCATTTTCCGCTTAGGGTAAGCAGAGATAAGCAATTTGATTGGTTGATGCTTTGGGACACGATAACTTTAGTTCTAATTAAGTGAGATTGATGAAACTTGGTGTATAGTTTCATTACAGTAATACCTTGACTAAGTTTGATAATGAGCATTTTCTGCTCAGGGTAAGCAGAGCGATACGCAATTTGATTGGTCGAGACTTTGGAAAACAATAACTCTCCTACTTTGATTGTCGAGACTTTGGAAAACAATAACTCTCCTACTTTGATTGTCCCCCGCCTTTCGAAGAAAGCAGGGAACTATTAAAATGGGTTCGTCCGTCTGTCTGTTTGTCTGTCTGTCCGTTCCGCTTATGGTAAGCAGAGATAAACAATTTGATTGGTTGATCTTCGAATTGAGTAAATGTTCATGCTTATTGTCCCCCGCCTTTCGAAGAAAGCAGGGAACTATTAAAATGGGTTCGTCCGTCTGTCTGTTTGTCTGTCCGTTCCGCTTAGGGTAAGCAGAGATAAACAATTTGATTGGTTGATGCTTTGGGACACTATAACTTTAGTTCTAATTAAGTAGATAAACAATTTGATTGGTTGATGCTTTGGGACACTATAACTTTAGTTCTAATTAAGTGAGAGTGATGAAACTTGGTGTATAGTTTCATTACAGTAATACCTTGACTAAGATCGATAATGAGCATTTTCTGCTCAGATTAAGCAGAGCGATAAGCAATTTGATTTGCTGAGACTTTGGAACACAATAACTCTCCTTCGAATTGAGTTAAAATGTTCATTTTATCCTATTTTGATGAAACTTGAAATATATGTTTATGTCCCGGTACCTTTCGATATTGGCATGTATCGGATAAATATTTCATGGATTATGCCCCCTGATTGTACAAAAGATTATTTTTAGCTAGTGGGCCCTCTCAAGGTCACAATTTTTATACGCCCACGTATAAATGTGGAGGTATATTGTCCACGATTTCTTGTACATGCCCCAACGCCAAAAGTTATGATCCAATTGTTTTGAAATTGATATATGTTTACATTAGTAAGATGAAGGAGTCCAATTAATTTTAATAATTTCCGTTTATTACGTCAAGGGTTACGGCCCTTGTTTCATTTTGTTGAACGCCAAAAGTTATCATCCAATCTTTGTGAAATTTATATGCATTATTTAAATTAGTGAAACGAAGAAGCCCTTTGAATTTCTGTTTATTACGTCTAGAGTTAGAGTTATGGCCCTCTTTTCACTTTATTGTCCCCCCCGCCTTTCGAAGAAAGCAGGGGACTATTAAAATGGGTTCGTCCGTCTGTCTGTCTGTCACACTTTTTGGGACACAATAACTCTTTCTAATTTACCTAGAATGGTCAAACTTGGTGCAGGTGTTTATTAGGTCAGTGTCTTGATGGAATTCGAAGATGAGCATTTTCTGCTTAGGGGAAGCAATTTGATTGGTTGATGCTTTGGGGCACGATAACTTTAGTTCTAATTAAGTGAGAGTGATGAAACTTGACTAAGTTCGATTATGAGCATTTTCTGCTCAGGGTAAGCAGAGTGATAAGCAATTTGATTGGTTGAGACTTTGGAACACAATAACTCTCCTAATTGAGGTAGAATGTTTAAACTTGGCGTAGGTGAATGTTTAAACTTGATGTAGATGTTCATTAGGAGAATGTTTAAACTTGATGTAGATGTTCATTAGGTGAATGTCTTGACTGAGTTCAATGATAAACATTTCGAGCTGACGCTAGCTAAGCAGAGCTAATTGATTTCATTTGTCGATGGTTTGGGACAAGATAATCTTGATTCTGTCTGGTAGAGAATGATGAAACTTAATGTATGGTTTAAATGCTTGATACTTTTGAAAAAAATAAATGTGCGATTAATTAATATGTGTCATCTTTTTATTTCGGTATTTCGGCGGGGGACATCAGCCTCACTGTTGGCTTGTTGACTTTGTATTTTCATCCAGGTGACATTGACCACTAATGTTCAAGATGTATGTCTTTGCTGAATTGATCCCTTACCACTCCAAAAAAAAAATCCTAAACCCAAACATAATAGTTCTAATGAACTGGAAAACAATAGTGAAATAATAAGGATGCAACTTGACTCAGTAAGGCAAAGATCATTGCATTTGTATTTAGAGAAACTATTGAAAAAAAAAAAGTAGTGACACCTAAATTGTAGATTTACCAGCGGCTGCCAGGCAGGATACGCCCACATTTTGGAAGAGATGGATAGAGAACAAGCTAAACAAAAAGCGATTTTTCGTACAATCAGGGGCCATAATTGTGGAAGTTACGATCTGATATGCGCAAATATCGAAAGGAACCAAGAAATTTGGGTTATAAACTTACATTTCAAGTTTAATCAAAATCAGAAGAAAATTTTCACCTCTAGAGGGTCACAACCTTGATATACCATATTTTTACGCTATTTGAGTACGAGGGGCGGCCATTTTGTCTGTCAGTATTGGTCTGATTTTCACAAAATTCTAACTCAACCTTCCTTAGGATGTAAAAGTGATATATTCAAACATTTTTTTAAATCGGATAATAATTGTGATCTCAAGCTAAAAACACGATTTTTCGTACAATCAGGAGCTATAATTCAGGAAGTTACAATCCGATATGCGGGAATATCGAAAGGAACCAAGATATTTGGGTTATAAACTTAAATTTCAAGTTTCATCAAAATCAGAAGAAAATTGTGACCTCTATAGGGTCCACAACCTTGATATACCGTATTTTTACGCTATTTGAGAACGAACAGGGGCCATTTTGTCTGTCAATTTTGGGCCGATTTTCACGAAATTCAAACTCAGCCGTCCTTAGGGTGTAACGGTGATATAATAATACGGATTTTAAAATTGGATAAAAATTATGACCTCTATTGGGTCCACAAGCTATAAATGCAATTTTCATACGCCCACATTTTCATGTGGACGTATATTGTCGTCGCCCCTGTCTGTCTGTCCGTCTGTCCGTCCACAATTGTTTGTGGACACTCTACAGGTCACAATTCTTATCCGATTTTGACGAAACTTGAAATATAGGTTTATCTCCAAAAGATCTCGGCAGGTTTCAATATTGGCATGTATCGGATCGAAACTTCATGGATTATGGCCCCTGTTTGTATGAAAAATCACGTTTTTAGCTTGTGGACCCTATAGAGGTCACAATTTTTATCCGATTTTGTTGAAACTTGAAATGTAAGTTTATAACCCAAAGATCTCTATCCATCTCTCGAAAATGTGGGCGTATCCTGCCTGGCAGCCGCTGGTTTAGCTTATGGTCCCTCTGGAGGTCACAATTATTATCCGATTTGAAAAACTGTCTGATTATATCACTGTTACACCATAAGGAAGGTTGAGTTCGAATTTCATGAAAATCGGACCAAAATTGCCGGACAAAATGGCCGCCGTTTGTACGCGAATAGTGTAAAAATATGGGATATCAAGGTTGTGGACTCTCTACTGGTCAGAATTCTTATCCAATTTTGACGAAACTTGAAATATACGTTTATCCCAAAAAGATCTCGGCTGCTTTCGATATTGGCATGTATCGGATCGAAACTACATGGATTATGGCCCCTGATTGTACGAAAAATCACGTTTTTAGGCTTGTGGACCCTATAGAGGTCATAATTTTGAACCGATATTGATGAAACTTGACATGCATGTTTATAACCCAAAGATCTTGGTTCCTATCGATATTTGCGCCCATCGTAACATAACTTCCTGAATTATGGCCCCTGATTGTCCGAAAAATTGCATTTTTTAACTTGTGGTCCCTCTGGAGGTCACAATTATTATCCGATTTAAAAAAAACGTCTGATTATATTACCATTACAACATAAGGAAGGTTGAGTTCGAATTTTGTGAAAATCGGACCAAAACTGTCGGACAAAATGGCCGCTGTTTCAACGTGAATGGTGTAAAAATATGGTATATCAAGGTTGTGGACTCTCTACAGGTCACAATTCTTATCCGATTGTGACGAAAAGTCACATTTCTAGGTTGTGTACCGTCGCACCATAATCATTGTCGGCTTCGAATTTCATGAAAATCGGACTGAAACTGACCAACAAAATGGCTGCTCCCAATACAGTATGAAATACAGGTTGTGGATCCTCTAATGAATTATGGCCTTTGATTGTAGGAAAAATCACTTTCAGTATTAATTGTTCTCTATCCATCTCTCCAAAATGTGGGCATATCCTGCCTGGCAGTGCCAGCCTATCTTTAACCAATTTTGTTGAAACTTGAAACGTAAGTTTATAACCCAAAGATCTCGGTTCCTTTCGATATTTGCGCATATCGGACCGTAACTTCCTG